CACGTGCGCTGTGAACCACAACGATGGTCAACGATGAGATTTCGGTGTTTGCATCTGCTTTGAATTTTAACGTTATCTTTACATTTCCAGCTTACATGAGATAGTTTTGTCACTGAGATGCACCAACTCAAAGAATTTGATAATCGCCAAATACGTATGACATCAGTGCAAGGTCAAGTAATTAGCCGTCAGAAGATGTTCCCTTATCATCTCTGTCATGAAACGCACACAGTGATATGGCAGTTATCATAGTCGTTCCATGATGTATTTATTCCAGTATCTGATAATGAGGCGGTAAACAGGGCATCATTAGCGCAACGTATTGCCTCATCGGTCCGATATCTATTAATTCATTTTCCACTGACATTGAACTCCATTATACGAAGTCATTTGTCCACATTTTGCGGTCATTGCTTATCAGTCAAGAGCATACATTGTTATATATAGCTTTTATCTCGTTGTAAACGTGAGACAAAGAATTTATTTGTTCGCTTAGGGAATTGTTACAAGTAAACACTTATGAGTATCGCGTATCGGGTCATTATCTGTCCTTGGAATTATGAGTGGTACAGACCAGCACAAGAGAAGAAACAAAACGGATGTGCCATCGATTTCTACTACCCACTGATCGATACAAAATTTCCCAAGATCTTTCGCGTTTTTTTTTTTTTTTTTTTTTCAGTACTGTGGTTAAGAAGCGATAACCTCGAAGCTTTAGAACTTATGGCTGAAATTATAGAACGCTTGAAGGAAAGCGAACTGAAACAAGCAAAAGAAACGGTAGTTATTTATAAATTTATTGTGTACATTGATTAAAATGAGCTATTGTCGGTAACTTAAAAGCAGCTCAATTTCTAGATTAGTTACAAAGTAACAGCCTACTCCACAAACAGTTCACAAATAGTCCANTTTAATTGTCAGTAATTTACATATTGTACTGAGAGAAGCCGTACTGTAGTAAGTACTGATTATATGGTGTCGTAACTGACTGTAATATTGTAAAGTAGTGTTTAGTATTGTGTTGTAATGTTCTGGCTTTTTTTTTTTTTTTTTTTTTTTGATTTTTAACATCGTGGAATTTTTTCTCTCTTCATCTTGGCTTTTGCATCTCGACTTGTGGGAAATATCCAAGCTTGCTCCCAAACCTCACGCTCGAAAAGGCTATATCTGCACCTTGCGCCTGCAGGCCAATATAGTACCTAATTCAAGCCGTGCATTCGTTTCCGTGTGAAAGTTCTCAATATCTTTGTCAGTTTAAATAAAACATGTTTAGAATGCATGGCTAGCAGTAAGTTCTTCTATAAAGCTCTTCAAATGAGCGATCGGCCCCTCAATCGTTACAGTTCTTGAGCAAGACACTTAACTGGCCGAATTTAATTCATAATTGGGACGAATTATCTGTTCAGAGGAATTGACCAAGTGAGAGGGGTAATTAGTCTGCTTGTGACGGGTACAACGTACTGACAAACAAATCAACAGAAGACGAATTTGGCCGCAAAATGATTCGTCTAATCACTGGATTTATACCTAGACGATTTATCCGTCTGAGGCGGATAAGTCGTCTCAGAGGAATGAACCGTCACCTAACATAAATTCAGAGTCGGGTAATTCGTCTCCAGCCCAGGCGTATCAGTAGATAAGTAAAGCCGACCGAAGAAAATGCTGGGGGATACTGGGAAGAACTAGTATCCCATTCTCAAGAGGAGAAATGCGCTAGGTCGCTTCATGCTTCTGAAGCAATTGGATTCTCCAGTTTTGGTGGTTGGTAGCGTGCAAGGGGAGCGGGAGGGAGGAAACTTCCTATCTCTTTAAGAAGGGTTAGGACGGTCAAGTAATGCCCGTAGTAAAGACGTGGGTTGTTTAAAATAATAAAGGAACTAGTACATACGATTTGAACCAATACATTACTTGCAAAAAAATTTCGGACGTTTCTTTTCGGGCGATAAAATTTCGGACACTTTTTATCTCACTTCGGACAAATTTCAGACAAAAATTTCGGACACTTTGCTGAAACATAGCTTCCGTAAATTTACGCCTACAAAATACGTTTTATACTGAAAAAACATAATATTATGTAAAAATTATAGTTTTACTGCACCTTCAAGGTTTTACAGAGACAACGACGGGAAAATACGAAATACTCTATAAAGCCCTCACGCATCTCAAGGAGTTTCTCAACTAGAGTTCTCTCCATAAAGGAAACTAATGGCTTTGGGGCTATTTAAAAGCTCGGATGGTTAAAAATTTCTGACGGTTTCATTTCGGACACTTTCTTTGTCCGAAATTTAACTCGTCCGAATTTTTTTTTGCAAGTAATGTAGGAAGTGTAAACCTCTAATAATCGTTTCGATCATTTTTCTGTAAAAATTATCATGCCCGTCATCATATGAACAGAGGAGAGATCTAGTGGGAGCGGTCTGTTACCATACCTGTAGTTGTGTAGGAGTGTGAGATCAGCTCTTAATACACGCACTGCGATCTTCATCATGTCTTTGTTTTCTGTCAGTGCTTTTGGTGTTCCACCCCAACTGCGAATTTTTTGAATCAATTCATCATCACTGAGAACTGAAACATCAAGCACTGTTCTTGGTATCTGTGAGTAAAAGAGGGAATTGGAAATCGCACACCTTAACAAGGAAATAATATCTGGCATTGAGCAGCTTTTGGCTCGATGGGGCAAGGAGGGGGAAGATTTAGGGGCACAAAATACTGCAATGAGAGCCTTTTGGAATCTTGGGTTGGAATTAAATTGAAACAAACACCATTCTGTTGTCCAGAGCAAAGCAAATAAAAGAAAAAAAAAAATGAAATACATAAAAAGCAACATAATTTAGATTTTACCAGTGACTGTCTGTCATCACTGGCATAATGAACAGTCTTCACACTGATGTTTTGTTACAAATTTTAATATTATACTTTCAATTTGGAAAACGAATAAAGCGAATAGAAATACAATGGCAGGGACAGATAGACAAGGATTACAAACAACAAGCTTGAAAAAGTTTCCTGATGCTCTACATCTGCGACGTAGCTTTAGTACTCCCACACAGAAATTTTTGG